TACTGAACTTAGGACCTTTGGGTTTGTAACAGTTTCTGTGTTGGACACATTCAAGGTATGATACCTTTTAGACATTCAAAAGAGACTATCCAGAAGGTGAGACGCTGTGGTCCTGGAGCTGAGAAGCCCTGCCCAGTAGAACAGATTTAGGGAAGACAAACTAAGACATGATGGGAGCAGACGAGAGTGCCCCAAAATAAAAGATAACAAGAAAACTGAGACTCAAGAGGCTGACTATATGACTGTGAACGGGAGACCGTGGAAAGATATGACCATAAACTATAAATGCCTATACAAAATGATTGTCAACTGATAGAAAAAGAATTACTCCACACATGTGAATGGGACCTTGTGAAACATATGCATGTGCTTTAAATATAAAAGTATTGAAGCAAAGGAGATTTTTGCCAAATGTTTGAAACCTGTCTGGTAATAGTCTCAAGGGGGATAGATAGCATCCATTAAGCGTGTATTATAGTAGACATGGGGCTGGTGCTTTGGACCTCTCATCTCACTGAATCATCATAACAGCCCTGCTGAATCTGCCTCATTATTCTCATTTTACATAAACTGAACTAAGTCTTTAACCCTTGGAGAGGAAAAATAATTTACCTACAGGGTACACTTGACAAATAGAGGAACCAGGATTCAAACTTGTGACTGTCCTGCTCCATAACCCAAATTTTTTCTTCTTGAAGTAAGGTAAACTTAAACAGTTTTAACCCCCTCATCCCCAGTAGTATTCACATGTTCTTGGTTTCAGACACTGATTTGTCAACTTTCAATAGCATTGTTTACTTTCTCTGCTATTCATATGAGACACGTTACAATAAAACAATAGAATTCAGGATTCTTAGAGTACGTGTTTGGCTTTTCATGTCAAAATACAAATAATCAAAAAGTACACATGTGTTATATTTCTGAGTGTGGATGTGTGCATGTTCCCAGGAGCTTATAAAACTTTTAAGACTTCTCCCAGGCCCTTTGCAAATGAAGGCCCTGAAGCTCACCAGCTACATGGCAAGTCCACCTCTGTACACTGTATGTGTACATCATGTGTTACATGTGTGCATGCAGTTAGATGGAAGAACCAACAAAAGCTGTTTTCCCTTGACCAACAGACCTGGGTTCCATTGCTTAGTGCAATAGAAGCACAAATTAATACTGCTTACTTCTTTTTCTGGAAGATGGAGATTTATCAAGTGCCAAATGGGATGAAAAAATTTTAAGTACCTTTTGAATTTAAGCCAGTAGTCATTTGCTAAGTTAGATATATAGCTGTGCTATGGCTCATGGTCTTTGCTTTCAGTAGGCAAATAAATGTAATTTATTTTTAACTATCTTCTGTATTCCAGAATGGACTGTACTCCAGAGGTGCTTTGTTAATATTACCTTTTAAATGTGACTTCCTGTGTGTATGAGGATTCGAAGAATGTATTGATAGGCAGGCTGGGTGATGGAAAAGCTATGTGACAAGGGACAGGAGGAGAGCAGGAGGGGCTGTCTCTGTATTGTAGATGAGACATATCTTTTGTGTATTCCAAAGGTAGATTAACAGCTGAGGTGTAGGGATTGCAGGGGAGCCAGATTCCAATGTAGTGGAAATGTCTACCAACTAGAACTGTTCTAAACTGGTTTGTTCATACTGTGATTGGCTATCCATCACACCATGTCTCAGCCAAAGCTACTCCTTGATCCAGGCCTGGTGGTGCATCCCTATAAACCCAGCACTTAGCGGACTGAGGCAGGAGGATCACTGCAAGTCCAAGGCCACCCTGTACTACACAGTGAGTTAAGGCCAGTTTGAACCACAAAAAGAGACTGTCTCAAAAGAAAAATGAAAGGCCACTCCTTGGCAGAGGAAGGAGAGCTGGGAGACTCCAGAAGACTGAGTCAATCTAAGAAACTGCTAGCATCCTCTCTAGGTCCAAAATTCCAAGGCACATATTATTACTACCAGTCATATATGCACTGTGCACACAAAGCTAAGCCAGCCACATCCCCTGACCAAGCTCCTGACTGCTGAGCAAATATGTCTGCAAATGGACTGATGAAACTGTGGCCCCCTCTAATGTTTCAGAGTTAAGTTTTCTCTTGGCTGAGCACCTGGGACTTGGGCCATACTCCTGCCCATCAGCCATCTCTCACAGACAGCATTTATAGCTGCTGTCTCACTAGGCAGACTGGGAATGCATGAGGCAGGCACATCAGCCTCAGTGTGGGCCTAGCCCACACTCAGAGCAGGGGGAGATGTCCAGAGAGCCTAGGAATGTCACAGTGGCCTCAGTGCACCTTCTTTACCCTTCCTAGCAGGAGCCATAAAACTAACGATGACCCAGACATTCTCCTGCTGTGTGTGAGCTCTGCTGCAGGCTTCCACATGTGTCCTGAGCCACCTCAGCCATCACAACAATAAGAGTGTATTCTGAGTGGTAAAGGGAGGAGGTGACAGCACTTGCTCCTGAGGCCTACGCTTTGATGCTTCCTGATACTATGCCAAGCTCATTCTCATTGCCTGGATCATCTCACTGAATCCACACAAGATTGGGACACCATTTGCATTAACTGTTTGCAGATGAGGAAGTGCAGACCTAAGGCAGTGGACAGGAATGTCTTGGAACGTCACCTGGCTTGGGAGCACACATGGGACGTGTGGTCTCCCTGTCTGTGTGCGTGCAGACAAAGGAGAGAGTGGCTTCATCCCCTCTAGCTTTTGTTTCAGCCCGCACCAGGCATCTTCTGTAGCCCTAGCACAGGAGTGACACATACTCCAGCCCTGTCCCAGGTCCTGCTCTACATGGCCCTCACTGGACCCTTGCTGCAGGTGGTGGAGGGAGCTCCTGAGCTTGGCATTCTGTAAAGAAGCCCAAGGTGACCAGTGTCCAGGCTGCAGTGTCTGCAGTGTGCATCCCGCGTTGCACCTCTGCCAGCACACCACAGGACAGCTGGACACCCTCACAAACACTAAATGCGCATTTCCTGGCCTCCCTTCAAAACTGATAGACTTAATTATGGACCCTGTTTTTTACTGAGCGTAATCATCAGGAACATATCTTTAAATGTTTTCACTTTCTAGTCTGTGTATTACTGAAATAAAACATTGAACAAACCCAGGATCAAACCCAGTGAGTGTGAGGCCATGTAAATTAGGAAAAGTTCAGATATTACCCTAACCCCAAAAAAAAAAAAAAAAGTTGATTAGGGGCTTATTTTTGTATGAGATTAAAATATGAATCATTAAAATAGGACTGTATTTCAGGCTCCGCATCCCCATCTATGAGAGCCATCACCATGACTACTAGATTTGGAGTCCGTGAGTGCCAAAGCCCTTCCCAGCCTGAAAACACATCACGTGGGCCAGGTTCTGCCTTACCCGAGACGTTTTCGAAAATGTAGTCAGAAGACCTGTGCATCTTCTTGCTCACGATCCCTTTTTAATGAGATAAATCAGCACATGGCATCTACCTCTGAAATCTTTTGCTTTATTTAATAATAGCAGTGGGCAGTAAGTTATAGTAACAGCGTCTACAATTCAAAGGTGGAGGGAGGAACAAAGAGCAGACTCACGGGGTTCTCTGGGGACTCACTCGGGACCAGGTCACCAATGGCTGTGGGACTTTATTTGATACAAACAGTTGAGAATTGGAAGTTTGGTGAGAAAAAAGGAAATTAATGTGGAGCATTTCTCAGATTCATGCTGAGTTTGGAGGAAAAAATGGAGCAATATCTGCAGCCCTCAATATGCAGCTAAATAAAGTGTTAATTAAAGTATCTGTTAAGAAATGGGTAAAATTAGAGACAAAGACTCATTGTTTGGTACAGTTGTTGACTGTACACCCCCACATGGGAAAGGACGTAGGGGGACAGTCAGCGGCCTGTGGTATTTTAAAGATTAATCACCCACCCATACAGGTTTTGAAGCACCCATCTGATGAAATGTGAGTTTGCATCTAAGCCAAAGGGGTTGAACCAGATCATGATGGATTTGGGGGTCAGGAGCTACTCAGTGAACACGTCAGACAGCTAGTGTATCAGAAAAGAAGGGCATGAACCAGCCCCCATCACCCTCTGCCAGTGGCTGATAACCACAGAGTGATTTTCTAGAGCATGTAGGATCTTAGAGCAATGAGGTATTTTTTGGTTTTTGTTGTTATTGTTGTTGTTTTGTACCAGGGACTGAACTCACGACCTAGCACTTGCCAGGCAGGCATTTATGCCACTGAGCTAAATCCCCAGTCCAGTGATTATCATTTTTAAAGAAAGGAAGCTCCCAGAATGTCCCTTAGAGCATTGTGATTAAGTTAGCACCTCTGACCAGATTTGTGAAGTTTTTTTCTTTCTGTTCCTGCCTGGAGTTAAGGTGGGATAGAAGGGCATGTTTTTCTCCCTAGGGAACAGTTCTGCTTAGTTGTCATTGCAATATTAAAGACTTTTCCATTAAAGTTGCTCTGAACATTGTGAAATGCAAGAAGAAATGGATATACAAAGAATATTTTCACCAAAATCATAGGAATAAGTTAGAACAATGTAGGTTTCCCAAAAAAAATCTGGGATATTCATTTAGTGAGCTGTCATTTGACAGCTACAAAAGCAGTTTAGTAGTGTGGGGACATCTTTAAAACCTGATGAGGAAAGGAAAAGAGTGGACACTAAACTATTAGTAACCTAACTCCAGCTATTATAGCTAGTATCAACAAGGCTTTTCTCTCTGAGTGATGGATGGGGTTATAAGTGGTTTCCTTTGCTTTCTGATTTTGGGCACTTTTTAAAACTTTTCTTGTGTATTACTGGCATCATAAAAAAAAGCCTGATTTAAACAACCACATGGCTCTGACGTTTTGAGTTTCAGGTGCCATGTCCTGTCCCTGTGCATCCATGAGGACAGCATGCAGTTTGGGTTACACTGTAGCCCTGCCGCGGTACCAAGCACAGAATTCTATCTCCATCCGTGCTGTTGAAAGGTGTTCCTGTCTCTACTTCCTGTTCCTTTTTCTTCTCAGGAGACGTGCTGTATGAACTCCTTCAGCATATTCTGCCGGAGAGGAAACCTCGGATCCTTTTCTCTCCGTTCGTCCACTCTGGAAACTCTATCCACACACAGCCAGAAGTCCTCCTGCATCAGAACCACGAAGAAGGTACTGGACAAGTCTTCTCTTTCCATGCCTGAGTCTTCAATCTTGACAAGCTGTGGTTATTCATGTGAATTCACTTTGAGTGCCTACCATGTACCAGGCAATAGGGGAATGCCTAGATAAATCAAATGCATATTCTTCCTTTCTGAAGCTTGAAGCCTTAGTAAAGCAATGAGGTTGCTATGGACTAAGTATAAAAGCTTAATTGTATTAGTTGGTACCACAGGCATAGTGGGAGGGGAGGTTGTAACCAGGTACTTCAGGAAGCCTCATCAGGGAGGGAGCTCTTAAGGATTCCTTGATGGTTGTCCACCAGCGTTCTGACCAGCAGTGGTAGAGAGCATTCTAGACATAGAAAATGACTTATGAGTGGGCTCAGCCCATGGAATAGAGAACAGTTAGATCACATGGAATTTACACCTTAACTTCCACCCCAACCTTTTCACTGAAATTGATAAATTTCAACATACCTCTTCCAAAGAGAAGGAAATAAACCCCTATGAGCAGTGATGTGCCTTTTACCCCTGAGAGCTAGTCCAAGGAGGTCGGGTTGGAACCAGAGTGTGAGCAACCAATTTTTCAGCTACAGGAAAAAGTAAGAGCAGTCACTGAAGATTTCTGAGCAGGACATAGTAAAAGCTGGAGGGAGAAGGGTCATCTAGACCCGATGAATGTGGTGTGGGTCAGGGCTTTCTTCACTTGCACCCAAGGAGATTGATGGACGGTGTGCAATGGCAAAGCTTCTCCATATGCCCTGTGGCTGCTCCTCTTGGGATTCATAGAAGTCATGCAAGCAAAACCAGAAACGAAGTGTTGCCCCTGGATGTAATTCAAAAGTAGGTGACTGGGTACAGAAATAGTTACAAAAATGTCCTTTGAGCAGTATACCATTGAACAACTAAATATACAGCACATTCAGTGCTGACCCTCTGAGGGCCATGGTGTCCACATCTTCCTGCCAAGTTGATCAGATAATGAATATATGGACTTGAGTGGTACTTTTTCATGTGTACTTTCCCTAGGACCAGATTCCTAAGGGCTCAGGTGCCCCATCTCTTGGGGAACTGCCTTAAATTGAACTGTTGTCCCCAAAAGTAGGGCTATGGGTTTTTTTGTTTGTTTTGTCAACCAATTAAAAAATAAGTTTTGTGTTGTAATTAAGATGTCACAGAAGAGAACATGACTAGGTGACCCATATCACCCGGGTCACCATGCTTTTTTTTTTTTTTTTTTTCCTGGTACTGGGAATCAAACTCAGGACCTTGTACTTGCACTGGCCAGGTGGGTGCCTATACTGGTGAGCTATATCCCTGGTCCCTCACCTTGCTTTCATGATGGAAATAATAAGTGAACATTTCTGACATGCCCCCTGCCTCTTTCTTTCTCTCATTCTTTCCTCCCCTAGCTTTACCCTCACAGAATTTAGCATCTGCTATCCTCCTCTAACTCAGTTTTTATATTCTTCTGTTCTTCCTGGTGTGTTCATTTTTGACTTCCATAAGAGCCAATAGCTACTCCAGAGAATAGGGGGTGGGTTTCCTGAAGCCTGACATGAAAGCAAGAATTATATTCCCTGGCCTGCTTATTCAGATACAAAGAGTGTATGATGGGTGTCTCCCTTATTGTTTTTTTTTTTTTTTAAATGCCATTTGGGATTTCCAGCTCCATTGTATTCCCGAGCTTGATGGGATGTGTATGGTCTCACCTCCTAGTCTCTTCCTTTTTCCTGGACCTGATTTGACTCCCAAGTAGGTATCTGCGTCATTGGGCTCGTTTGCACATCAGTAAACTGAAGCTCATCAATAGAAAGAAAAAGCTGACTTGCTCTGAGAGCTGCTTTCAGACCAAGTAAATCCAGACGTGCTACCGTATACACTGTGATGTGAGGTGCTCTCAGGTCTCAGGGTGTCAGGTGAGAATGGAGCTAATGAGACTAATGTCAGGGGCTTCATCCTCTGCAGCCCAGGTGCTGTGCTTCAGACCCAGCTCTTAAAAGTACACAGTGTGTGCTCAGAGACTATTCCTTACAGCTGGCAGCCTGGAAGCAAGATCTGAGAGCACCTGCCCTGCCCTTTTGTCTATTCAGCCACGGTGTGTGCTGTTGGAGGACAGGTGGACACAGCGGGGATGTGAAGAGGCTGCTCACTCTGCCCCCAGATTTTTCAGATCTGTGGGTGCCTTTGATAAGAGAGAACAAGTGGAGGGGTGAATGTGTCTATACAGGTTCCCCACCTCCAGCCTCTTTCCTTTTTCCTCCAAAAAGAAAAAAATGATACTCCTCAACCTAGATTGTGTCGAGAATCAGTGCTGTTTTATTTGATTGTGAAGGTAATAGATAATGGGTATGGACATATATTAACATATAGAAAGATCTGGTTGTTTAAAAAAAAGTCTGTAAGGAGAAATTGTACATATCAGATATTACTTCCTCTATTTATTTTACATAAGTAAGGATACATGTAAAAAATATGTTGACCCAAGCTTACTTGTATTGCCATTGACATGGTTCAGAAATATATATATCAAGTTTTGGTCCTGGAAATTAGCTCAGCGGCATAAGTGCCTGCCTAGCAAGCACCAGGTCCTGAGTTCAATCCCCAGTACCCCCTCCCCAATATATCCTCTATCCAAAATGCTTAGGACCTGAAATGTTTCAAATTTGGGGATATTTGTGAAAACAGGGAGATCTTGGGGAGGGGACCCCCGTCTAAACATGAAATTCTCTTATGTTTTGTATATACTTTTTTTACATACAGAGAGATCATTTTACACAGTACTTTTAAAGCTGTGATTTTCAACAGTTTACCCATGTATCTGCATTTTCACTGCATTCTGTCACATGAGGTCAGGTGTGAAATTTTCCACTTACGTGTCAAGTCGGCACTCAAAAAGTTTCAGACCTGAGGTCACTTCAGATTTCCAGTGTTGGATTAGGGATGCTTAATATGTCTATGAGTGGCATAATATGTCTAGAATAGGGTATTCCAGAGGGGGTCCCACCTGGCTCCTAAGCAGCCTGGCACAGTGATACAAAGAGTGAAATAGAAGCACAAAGCTGCTTTCAGCCCCCAGGACTTCACTGCACCAAGTCACCAACTTCACCAGTTAAGATAGTCATCCTTGCACAATGGGAATTTATATCACAGAACACATGTGTCTTGTCTGATGTAGCAACAGTTCCCCCCACAAATCTCCTCCATGTGTCATGACACTGAGAAGTTACCTTCCTGACTGGCAGTCACGTGGTGGTGCCAGGAGGTAGGAAGCTGGTGTTAGCACAGGCTTCCCCTCCACGCCCTGGAGAGGACAATCTCTACACTGCTCCTGGCCCTTCATTTTGTAAACACTTGTTATCTCCACAGGGTACTCTGTTCCAAAGTCCTGTCAGGCCTTGAGCAAAACAGTCATCAGATTACTACCTACATCCAGGAAAACCAGTATTTCCACTCTCTTCCCTTATTACTTAGGAGAAGGGAGGGCAATATTATATAATTAAGTTAACCTTACAGTGTTTCATCCATGCTGAGACACTTAGGGCAGTGACACTGAGCTCTATAAATAAGTCATCCAGGACAAGGGTCCAAAGCACAACTATTCCCAACAAACTGAGATGAGGTATGAGTGTGTTGAGAAAAATCTTAAAGGATGAGATCCGGAGGTCAGGAAACCAGGTTCAAATCCTCCATTCTACCAGAGGATATCATGAGGGCAAACTTTTATTTCTCTGGTCCTTGGTTTCCTCATTTATAAGATGGGGTTTAGCTTGAAAGGTGTCTAAGATGTCTTAGAACTTTAAAATCCTGGCATTATACCCAGGTGATACAAAGATAAATAAGACACGTTCTTCACCCTCAGCAGCTTATATTTCTAAAATACAGAAAACTATAATAGAGTTCTGCCTGGTACTACCCAAAAGCAGTAGAAAATCTCTTTTCTCATTATATCAAGAGTTTCTGATACTTTTGCCCATTTCAGTAGCCAAACTAAGAGTAGCATCATTTATGTTCTAATGAAAAGCTGAATTTAAGTAATTTCCTTTTCTTTGACTATTGTAACTCACTTTGTCTGCATAATGTGAATGAGATGGTAGGTAGGTGGTTATGTAGAAAGGACAAAATAGATGATGTTTGTACCTCTTACCCAAAAACCAGGAAGCAAAGCACTTTTAGAAACTTGGGGCCAGCAAATGATTATAAAGTAAAATTTTTATATATACAGTTTAGTGACAACTTCTTTTGATACCTTAATTTCCAAAGTCAGATGCTTTTAGATCCCGTGAAACTAAAAGAACAGATAGTAGCAGTTCTCCAAAGAAAAACTTTGTCCCACAAAATGCTGTATATATTCAGTTGCCACTGGTCATTTGGTTCTGACACTACTTGAATAGTGAATAGTGAAGCTCACTGGGCCATAAAATAAAAGCTGCTGATCTTGGCTAAAATCTCCAAGTGAGACCATCTCTGCAGAGTGAGGTCTACAGATCCGGACAGACATAACCTGTAGGGAGAAGAAACAAAATCTGAGTTTCTCTAACATTCTCGTTCCATCACCCCATTGGGAGCCCTCCTGTCATTTAAACTCTTCAGTCCCACCCATTCCTGTGCTCCAAGTAAAAGACTATGGGAGAGTATTTTTATTGTTTTAATTGAGAATATTCTCATACTCAGTGCTGTGATCACTTCTGTGACAGTGAACAATGCAGTTTCAAGAGGGCATTCCCACTCTAGTGGCAACTTTTTGTCACAAGAGACATTTCAAGCTTTGAAATTCTGCATACCTCAGTTTTCCTTAAAACAGCCCAGATGGTAGAGAGCAATCATTCTTTGTGGGAGGCAGGAGAGTAACGTATTCTGCTATGACCCAAATAAGTTTCATTTCTATGATTGCTTTCTTGAAGGAAACATTATCCCACTACCACCAAACCCAAACATTGCTTTGGAGGAAGAAAATCTTAATAAGATAATTGAAGATGAGGTATATGAATCCATTTTATAATCATAGAA